CTTAAGGTTCTGCTTCTATACAATCCCATTGGAAAATGTGCATGAAACAATATGGCACTGAGTAATAGTCTGCAAGATATTTATTTACCAGCACTACTATGAGTTATTTACCTTTGATGCCTTTGATGGCTACACATCAAGAGACTTAAGCTTTGGCTCAGATCTCAAAAAAGGAAATAAGCTCCCACAAGTCTCTACAGCACATTTCTCTGGAGGAGGAGAGCATTAAGACAATAATGTCCATGCAGAAGGCTCAGTCTGAATCTATTTTCTTCCTCCCAGAAGAAAGTAAAGGGGCACAGTGACACTGGCTGCAGAAATGGAAGGTGAGGGCCAGTGCTCTGTGGAGCACGGTGGAGATAACAGAGAGAACCTGCACCGAGGTGCTGGGCCAGGCAATTCTTTCTGTGAGGCAGTCAATGAATGCTATTCACTGAAACCATGTGGGCTGCTTGGGCTTCGCAGTGAAAGGCTCTGGTATTTCAGAACACTTTCTTATCAGACAAATGAATTCTGTGGGTGAGCATATAGCCTCATCTGTAGGGGAAGGATGTGATATGGGAGAATCCAGAAGGGATTGTGGGAATCCTGGGCAACTGTCAGGCAGAACAGGTATCAAAACACTTGTTCACTTTATCATTAACATAGAAATAAGAATGTAAACAAAGCACAGAGAACTACTGAGCCCAGCTGCTGTTCAGCTTTGTTTGGAAAGGATCTTTGGTCTATATACATGAGTCTATATTTCTCCTCTCTCTCTCTCTCTCTCAAAAAATGTGAATTGGCTGATAAAGGGTGAAAGTCTTGAGATAACTAAATTTCTAGGATTGCATAGATTATTTGGGCAATTGGATGAAAGCCTGGAATTCAGACATTTATAATTCCACCTGATGTTTTTTAGTTCCTTTCCCTGATTAGTGCAACTGCATATGGTTTTCTGTGTGTAATGGCCATAATAACGCAGGAGAAGTTTGTAGATGTGTGCAATGACAATAAGGACAATATTCATGATATATTAATCCATTGTAAGTCACAGTAAGAAAATAGGCTAGTGTTTCCTACTGTCCCCAGAGCCACTGGATCCACACATGTTGGTGTTATCTCCCCTTATAGGGCAGTGTCACCATCTCATCCTAACTGTTGAAAACAGTTTTACCCAGCCTGTCTGGGGTTAAACAAGAAAAATGTAGCTCAGAATAGAAGACAAAGTATTTCTTGTGGATACAAATATCAGTCTGCAAATCCTACAACAAATCCTCCTTGATCCAGCATGTGACAGACCCAGCTTATGAATGAAGCATATATTATCTTCCATTGAAGGAAGTGAAAGCATTTAACATTCAGTTCTCTTGGACCTATAGCTGGACATCAAAATATATAAGTGTGGCTTTATTTCTAACACCTGGCACACTTTGAATTTCTGACCAGTTCTTTGTGAACATACCCCTACTTATTTTCTTCAGATTTACTAAAAAATTTTAAGCTGATGATACATAGAAGGTGTGAACTTTTTTACTTTGCTGTGGCATGCGTGGGCAGGGGAGCACCTACAGCTCCTGTAGCATGGTAATGTGAACAACAAAATCGTTGTCAATGTCAAGCTGCAACACTGAGGTTTTTATTTGAAAATTGAGAAAGTCAAATCTACAGGTGACCACGTGCTTTTGAAGATGGCAAAGATTATCAGTTTTGGGCCCCTTCCTGCAAGAATGACACGGAGGTGCTAGAGAGCACACAGAGAAGGACAATGGAGCCTGGAGCACAAGTCTTACTAAGAACAGCTGGGGATGCTGGGGGCGTTGGGTCTGAAGAAAAGAGAGGACCTTATCACTCTCTACCAACCACCTGAAAGGAGGCTGGAGCCAGGTGGGGGTTGGTCTCTTCTCCCAAGTAACAACTGATAGGAAAAAAGGAAATGGCCTCAGGTAGCACCAAGGGAGGTTCAGATTGAATAATAGGAAAATTCCTTCATAGAAAGGGTTGTCAGGCATTGGGACAGGGAAATGGTGGAGTCACCATTCCTGGAGGTATTTAAAAGATGTATAGCTGTGACACTTCAGGACATGGTTTAGTGGCAGGCTTGGCAGTGCTGGGTTAAGGCTTGGACTCGATGACCTTGATGGTCTTCTCCAACCTGAATAATTCTGTTTCTGACTACCTCTTTTTCCTTCTACACTTGTGACTGCAGTAGTCCCAAAGACAAGTCAGAGCAGTCAGAAAAGTAGGCATAACCAAAGGAACTGATTTTTCTGTAATACAATTGATTCCTTTCTCTCTTTGCTCTCCTGCTGCTAACTGGCATAGCAATAGTCTTTCCAGATGCTGGTGTTCCACGTTTAACAAAATGATTCCCAGTCACTGCTGTGAGAGTTTGCAGTTGTTCTTTGAAGCACTGCAGCAACGAGAAGTGGAAGGTGCTGAGAACCCACCCCACTCAGTGTAAACATTTCCAAGCTTTGGGTAGAACAATCATATTTGTTATTGATATCCATATTGGCTCTGATCTCTGCCCCACTCATGTGGGGGTAATTATACACTCAACCCACAAACATTAGCAGAAACAGACATGTGAGTTAAACGAACCTATCAGCTGACTATAACATAAAAATGTGCCATGTCCTGTTAGTTTCTCAGAGAAGAGCTGTTGGTGGAAAACATTTCATTTAAAAAGCTCAAAAATAATTTTCACAAGTATATATGGTTTTAATTGTCAAACATTTAACGTGCATTTCACCACAAAAGACCTCAGTGATGAGCTTGTGAGCCCATTTTATCCACTAAGACCGGATTTTAAGACTATGTATCTGCACTGCTGAGAATTGCTGGGGCTGCAAAAGCCAGACACACAACAGGAAACTTCATTCTTCATCCTCTTAGAGGTGTTAAAGACATGTTAGTGCCCCATGGGAAAAATCAGTGGCCAAGAAGCCACATCTTCATGTGAAAAACTGGGTTCCAGTGGTTTTCTTTGGGGATATACAGACTTGGGTCACAAATCGGGCTGATAAGGACATGATTTTTGCAATGTGCAAGGCAGTGTTTAGTCCAGCTTAAGGTCTTGATCTTGTTTCTTTCTCACATTCATGTGCTAGCAGCCAGCTTCTGTTAGCTGCAATCATGGATAGGTTGCAAACTTTTTGACTATGTATTTCTAAAGACCCCAACAGCTCTGATCAGCACACTGAAGATTTAAACACCACGTACCTGAGATCAGCAGCTTTGCAGAGACATGTGATTGAGGGGAATGGAAGGTGTCCCCTTGTGAAAATGTCTTGTCTTTTCCTTCCATGTTGAAATGCTCACAAAGCCCATTTATCTCACGAAGGTTACTGTCCTAGCAGCCTGAATAAATAAACAGCTGAAAAGCCAGAATTTCATCAGCAGGTTCCCCTGGTTGCTTTTTAGCTGAATGATCCTACTAGTGAAATGGTGAGTCAACAAGCCGAAGACCAAAAATCAGCCCCAGTTGCCAAGAAACTGCAGGTCACAGGCTGGAAAATGGACATGTTCAAGCTTGCTCTTTCCCACTTGATTTCTGTTGGAACCAATGCCTTTCCAGCAATTTTCCAAAGGCAAAATACCTATCAGAAAAATTTAGACTTTCTTCTCCTCATTGTTCAATAAATGTCGCTATGCCCTATGTACAATGCACTGTTCAAACTCTTGTCCTAAATACGAAATCAACAACTTATTTTTGGGCATATTTATGGCATCCAGTGTTGTAGCATCAAAGTGCTTCAGAAACACCTACAAATTAATTTTTTTCAGCCTTCCTCTAATATAAAGATTATTTAACCCCATATGACAAAGAGGAAAGTGAGGAATGAAGGCCCTGAGTTGCCTAGGAACTGATTTCTAAGAGGATTTGGCATTAAATAAAATGTTACCGTTTTAAAGCCACATTTCTATTGACCACACCTGGATTTGCGAGTACTCAATACTCTGCAAGTCAGATCCAGAAATCTTTTAATAACATTTGAAAATTAGGAATTCAGATCCTAAGGTTGGTGCCTGTTTCTGGAAGCTTAACCCCTTGAAACAAGATTTGAAACAGAATTTCAAGCTCTGTAAGATAAGCACCACATGGGTGGAAGGATGAAGGCACCAGTGAAGGCTTAAATGTCTCAGAATGGGATCTGAAATAGTCAGAAAAATGATAAGGAACAGTGTGAAGTAATCCAGTGTAGACAAAGGATGAGCCTTAAAAACATGAAAAATTGAGGGGGAAAATAGTGAGTCTCACAGAACATACTCTCACTGGGAAACTACAGTGAGACTTGAGCCTTGAACTTCTTTGCAAAAGTTCCTTTTGTTAAAATTCCCTGTTGCCTTTTCTTTCTGGGGCCTAAATAGAATTTGCTACAATTTTAAAAGCTGGTTGATAGAAAAAAAACCCTTTCCCTGTCTGAACGATAAAGTAGTGGTTCATTTCAGGAAATAGATGCCTTAAGCTGCCCTTCAAGTCTGACCATAGGACTTATTATCCGAGATAGAGATTGCTTTAGCCACAAAGCTTCTGGTTACTGCCCATCTTTCACATCAGAGAGGCACACTAAAAATATTATCAATACAACAGCTCAGGGAATGACAAAAACATCACGAAGAAAGAGGGAAAGAGATTCTCTAGTCTAGTGACAACAGTAACCATCAAGCAAGTGCACATGGCCTGGAATCTATTCTTTAGTTTGTCCTTTGGAGTGATCCAGTAATTACTGTGGAACGGTGTCTCTGAGGACAAGACTAGAGATTTTGTCCTCTTTTGCTTGCTGTTCCAGCTTCTACTGGCTGGTGACAGCTTAACCCAGAGCATAGATCTAGCATACTACCTAGCTAGCAAGGAAGGAGATGGATCAGCCTTTAAATATTTTCCAAAGACAGAGTAGAATGTGCATGCTCTTTCCCCTAGGAGTGTGCTCTAGAGAGGAGTTACACTATTCCTACTCTTTGGCCTTCTGAAAAGCAAGAACTTGTGTTTGTAAAGAAGAAACAGTTTCACTGACCTTCTTTAAGCATTCTCCTTTGTGGAACCAGATCAGCTCTCTCAGTCCTGTAAAAATCTATTTGTTCTATAATTGCTAATGGATATCTTCTCTATATTTGTCTCTAAGTGTCTTAAGTATTGCTGTCTTGTGTTATAAGAAGCATCTGCTATGGTATAATTCCCCAGTAGTCAGAGGCTGCATTAGAATTTTCCCTGTTCGGAGCTGAAGCTCTGAAGTTCCATTCAAGCTCCATTTCAGGAATTTCACCTGTATCCTTTTCTTAAGAAGGTGACCTTTTCTCAGCATCACAAAAGCCTTTCTCAGCATCTGCTTCAAGGTAGAATCAGTGGCAGAATCGTATTTCCCAGAACATTACTCAGTCTCTAAAATCACAAGGCTGCTCTGCTTTTTCCTGTAGTTCTACATCTCAGTCAGCAAGTGTCCTCCAGCAGCAAATAGATGAGAGTTGAACAATGAGACAGGAAATGGTCTCCCACTAAACAGATTGTTTATTGATTTTTTCGTGCTGAAGTATTATTCTGTAATATTTACCCTTAGGACTCTGAGGAATATACCATCTGCACAAGGGAGATTTTCCTACATGTAAAGTATGTCAATATTAGTAAATTTAACACTGTCAGAACAGTGCTCAGATCATGAAATTGAATTGCTTGGGCTGTTACAGTTCTGGCAAGGTTTTGTCTCACACCAAGTAATGCCCTCTTAAACAACTCTGAGCCACAATCAACTTCTTGTATAGTTCAGGAGTTATGATAGACAAAAAACCATCTCAGAAAATAATTTTGGGTGCAGCCATAATGTTACAGTGGCTGAAAACAGTTATTACAGGTATGTCAAATAAGCTAGAGATGAGGATGTGACTTGTCTCAGCAAATGAAGTGGAAAGTTACTGTTGGTCAAAAACATTTTCTGTGTAGCCCACCAGAGGGTGCAGATACACCCGTGCTGCCTCCAAGGGAGCCGGGAAGTAACAAGATTATTTCTGCCTTTGTGCTTGCTCACCTACTCAAAGCTTGTGCTCCTGAATATTCCCTTATTGCCTCAGCAATTGCCTCATACAGCTAAACTCTGCATGTAACATCCTGCCAAAGAAAATGCAAAACTTTTCATCTTAAAAGTTGACCGGACTTACAGGCAGCTCCCTAAGGAATTTGTCTCGCCATCTCACCACTGATGCTTCCGTGCTGCAGCAGATCAGATTTCCTCTATGAGCAAGATCTGCAGAAAGGAACAAACAAGAAATCTTGTAAGAATAAAAAAAAACACCAAAAAACACACACATACAAACCTCCCTCCCAAAAAACCCCAACCAAACAAAAACCCCACATATCTAAAGACATTTGCAGTGACACAGTGACAAGCACTGATAACATTTTCTATTTTCTTTCACAGCCTTAAATATACGGTTCACTAAAACATACCTGTGCAGGACTACTAAAGCTTCAAAATACAGACATCTGAAGATGGAGAAAAGAAAAAGGAGCACATGCTTGTTGCTGATTTGCTATTTTCCCTTCTCATTTTTGCAGATGTGAATCAGCTGCAGTGTATCTCACAGTAAGTAGCCCTAGCTGGTTCTTCATGACCATAGCAAGGTGTAATTTCTGTTCTGATTTCAAGATTTAGTCAGCAGTTGGGAGAGCAAGGATTTTCAATTCATCAGCTGCTGAGCCCCAATTCTTCATGCAGTAGTGTGAAAATGTGACAAAAATGTGCAGCTCTTGATGACCAAGCTTACAGATCCCTGCCCCCGGCCTGAACGCCTGGACCCTCATCAGTCTGTGTGCAAAAAGGCAGAATCCCTCTGTTAGGATATCAATGACAGCTAAAACCCAGTATTTAATTATTGAGCTGTTGCATGAAGCATACACACATTTTTCTCTCTATTTCTCTGAGTACTTAGCTTTAGTTAAATATTCATCAACAGTGGAAAATAAGATTACCAATGGAAAAATTCTGTAAGAACAGAAGGCTTCCAATCAAAAATATATGAAAAGAGACTGGATCAAACTGACATTACCGGATTCAAACGTGTAGAAAATTAATCCTGTGGGATATTTCTGATTGATTAGGAACTAAATTTAGACAGAAATTGGATTATATTACCCATTTTACACATATTTTAAATAACAACCCTAACTCTCAGGATGACTCCCTCTCAGGTTTCCTGTGTATAAATAGTAAGTCTAAGAAGAACACCGGCTTGACTTTCCCATTTGAGAGCTGGTAGTAAGAATAATTAAGAAAAAAAAAATTAAAAAAATATCCCACAGACATTTATTTATAAACAGAGCTCATTTCATCCAGGAATTCTGGAGGCAGTAGTCAAGGTCCAAACTGTAATGTCATTTCTGTAATGTCATTTTCAGAGGAGAGCTACGTTTTCAAGCTCCTTTTGCTCCTTTCACCTTTGTGAAGAGCATAGAACCAGTGTCAGTAAATATGCCTGATAAGAAAACCTCCCTTCTGTGCAACTGAAAGCTTTGCAAACGTTATTTGTCAGCAGCGAAGCCCCCCGAACTTCTGTTACAAAACAACTTTTTATCTGGAAATTATGCAAATGTGAAGTAAAGTTTTTAAGTGGAAATACATGTGTGAAACACCAGCACATATTTTAGACACATGGTGACAGTCTTGGTGTGCCTTCATTTTCAAGCAGGACAGGGGACTCTACCACAAAATAACTTCTTGTGGGTGATTTGTCTGGGTTTCTCCCCTCGGGCCACTTGACCAGAATGCAGCAGTTACTGTGGTAGACCAAAGTTACCATACAAGGAACGACATTTCTACTATTTGTCTGTTTCCAGTGCTGCTACACATAAGACTACACATAACCTCTGCCACCCCCCGACAGAGGAGAGCACCCTTTTCCCACATCAAACAAAGATACTGGTGCTGAAAGAGAGCACTGGGAGCAAACATTTTAAATCACCTGAGCTGGCCTTTTCTGCACAAATGGTCATCAGTGAAAGCCTAATTATCTGCACAGGCAGACACATCTGAGTTGAACCCAAACCCACACTGCAAGACAGAAGGTGAATACACAAGCAGTGGGTAAGATGCTGGTTGGTGACGGGATGCCTGGGTTCAGTTCGCTCTTCCCACACCAAGCTGCTGAGCACCTTCCCTTGAGCTCTGCCTATTCAGTAACTGGGAAATGTGACTGCAGGATGGTAGGCACACCTCAGCCACCTTTCCTGCAGCAAACTATGGCACAGGCTGCAAGTATTTACCAACTAAGGCCGTACAGACCCGTAACAAACAGCAAATTGATCAGCATTGATGTTCAAACTGAGAAGACTAAAGCTGATGTAAATGCTCTACCCATGCTATAGCCTCTTCCCTAGCAAAATGGGGACATGCTCTCTGTTTTTTTCTAAACTGACACAGCTGTTTGCAAGGGAAGACTGGGGTTCTTGATCAGACTGCCTGCACTGGGAAGCTGTGAAAACCAGGTACAAGTCTGGCATCGGCTGGGATTCACATGAATTCCCCATGTGTAGATGCAGTGACAAAACTTCAAGTGGATCATTGAGTCTGATGAGGGTGAAATTCATTAGAGAGGTCCAATTGCTACTCTAACAGCAATTTCACAAGTAAAGTGGAAATTATTTAGGAATGAAGTCCCAATGTGGATGGAAATTTTGTGTCTGAATCAAACCAATGCTCTTAAAAGTCCTAACTAGATTCTCCTGACTACTAAGTATAAAATCCAGAAAGTGTTTAAACCAGACATTCAAGGACTCAGTATTAAAACATTAAAAGTGATTACAAGGAAAGATTTAAAAACCCACAAATGCCAAAAAAACCTCGAGTCTTAAAAAGCCCACAAATGCCATACCAGTGCTTGATTTCACCCAGAAATCATCATGGCACGTACAATTTCCCTTTCTGTATGGTGACACAATGTCAGCCCATTATTACAATAACTTCCCCATAGATGGCTATTTTATGCTTGTGTCTGAACTATTAAACAAAACAAACGGGTTTTCACGCAAATAATCTCTCTCCTTATCTATTAAGAGGCAACAAATGCCATACGCAAAAGTGCACTGTGCCTGCATTTCCTTCTGGTGCCTGTCTGTCTGAGTTTAGCTTTTATGCATCAAAAGACTCTGGTGAAATTGTATAATTTTATGATATTGTTCCACAGTCACTTCTGTGTGTATGTTGGGCTGTTGCAAACCTCCAGAGCAGTCTCAGGATGAGTACAGTACATGACTCTGCAACAGCTACAGATAGATATCAGGTCCAGATTTACAACTAAAACTGGTCCAAAATTATCTGGGTTTGATTTTTTTTTTTCTGTCCCCCAACATGTAGAAGCTTATTCTTCCTCTTTTTAAAAACAGAGTTGAAGACACACTATGATTTTTACTACTCTCCTCACTAAAGCAAACTGCACCTGAGAACTCCTTATTTTGTTAGTGGCTCTTGCAGAGTGAGCTCCTTAAAACTGGCGGTGAGTTTTCTTTCTCTTTTACTGCAGTATTTGCTGTAATAATTCTGACTTCTAAATATATGCAACATAATTTCTTAATTATCTTTGCTCTATTATTACACCATACAGTTCTTCCTTTATTTCTACAGCTCACAGTCATCTGGCACAAAGAGACACATGTACTTCTTGGATTGCAATGAACTTTCTTCTCGTTTCAGATGTAAATAATAGGAGGGAGAAAAAATCAGTCTTGACTGAGCCTGGCTCCTCTGAGAAACTATTACGAATAAACAATGAAGAAGTGAAAATGTACTCCTTACCTGGTCTGAGAGGTACAGTGCACCTTGGAAAGCCTCATAAATGACACAGAAGAAATAGAAATACTTGAAAGTTTTTACTCATCCAACCAGAGGACTCAGGAAATGACTATTTTTGCAAGATTAACTCCTTCCTCACTTCGAGGTTTTTCAAGTACAGTTCTACTGCAGTTTGGTAACGAATGCTCTGTCCCACACATGATTTCTGTTTCACACTGCGAATATGCAGGTGGCTGGAGGAGAAGACTCTGATCACCTCCGTGGAAGAGAAAAACTGCAGTGTCTTCTGCATAACTGACCAAATACATTTCACTGCTGAGTGATGCTTATGTAATGAAGTACAGAAATGACCGAGAGTAATGGCTTGACCTCCCAACTCTCATTTTTAGAAGAGATTTAGAGCAGTGGAGCAATATTCTCAGCATGAATTCAGTGTTGTGGTGCCCAAGAGAGCAAGGTAAAAAACTAGGTTATTTGATGGAGTGGCATCCACTGCAGCCTGGACAAGCATTTGATATACATATAGTGTATGATATATAGTCCACCTATTTGACTAAAAGGCATTTCTGAGACTGAGCTTATAAACATCCACCAGCTTGAAAGCTATTAAAGGCCAGCTGCCCACAAGAGCACAAGCTACTTCTGGGGAGTGGACACCTCTGTACAGAACCCAAGGTGGCACCTGGGCTTCTGAGCCTGTGGAGAGACCCGGTGCTGTGGTTTTCTGAGACAGGGATGGGGCTGTCTTACCTAGCTCTGGGCATTTACACTGTAGATGTTTACACCAGAGTTTGTCATTCAAGGCACTCTTGAATATAGGCAATGGAAAGAAAAAGACCTTTGCAAGATTTTTTACATGAGAGTCTTGACATCCAAATAAAAGTTCCTTCTGCTCTATAGATATATATGCTCACATGATTTTTTAATGCAATCAAGATTTTATAAAAACTACCAAAAAAATCCTTATTCTCTGCAAGTTAAGTTTTACCTTTGTTTTCCTAATGATTATTTCCAGTAACAAAGACTCAAGAAGCATGCTCCCACAAGACACTGATGAGGCTGATCTGCACTTGAAGTTTATCCTTTTACAGTTTACCACAAAAATAATGAGGATACTCAAGATCCTTGATCTGAGCATGTGCTTAGTTGCTGTCTTGGAACGGAAGCCAAAGCATTTGTGTGACTCCTCAAGCTATGGTTATTGATGCTAT